ATATTAAAAACTATAAATATATATGTATATTTTGCGAAAATGCGAATTTGCCTTAAAAAAGGCAGAGATGTAAAAAAGGCGCTAAATATATTTTTCTTTCTCAATTGAAACAAATTTTTTCAAATATAAAATTTCTTCTATAACAATTGTTTTACAAAAATAGAATTAAATATATATGTATATAATAAATATATATGTATATAATTAAATATATATGTATATAATAAATTAATAATATAAAAAACTGATTTTATGTCTGATATGATTTGTTGTCTATTAACAAAACAAAATATTTTAACATAAACTAGATCTTTTTTGCGATTTTCAATACTTTTTTATACCATTAATTTATATTTATGTACTTTTCAATTCTATAAATTCCATTTATTTTGTAAAAAAAAATTATTTTGGTTGAAGAGATTTTATTTAAAAACGCTATTATTATTATTATAAAGAATGATTAAATGTAAAAGATATACTTATCACTTTTTTACATCTATGATGTATTTTTGGCGATATTTTTATACATTCAATAAAATAAGTTGATCTAATTAATATTATACTAAAAGTGCATAAGTGTGTTTAAAAAATATTATATAATTAAATTTTGCAAATGTGTATAATGCTGTATTTATATAAAAACAGAATCATAAATCGATTCTATTCATCATTTCGTGAAAAATTTAATAAATATTCTAATGGTAATAACTTTTTATAACAGAAAGTATTATATATTAATTGTATATACAATATATTTATTATAACTTTTTTCTTGTTATATAATTTTCTTTATATGTAATTAAAAAATATTTGTCAATATATATTTAATTTCTCTCTTTCTGCAGTCCTCATTTTCATTTCAGTGCAAAATTCAAATTGTATATTTTGTGACAAGATTAAAATTAAATTTAAATAAAAATTATTTTATTTTAACCAAAGAAAGATTTTTAACTTAAGTGAATAGTTCGGCCCAATTAAAGAAAAAGATTTATTCTATATATTTTAGCACACAAAAACTACACTTTTTTTTTCTCTTTCTTTATTTTAAGCCAAACATGAAATCCAATCTCGAATTGAGAAAATTTTAAACAATAGACTTGTGTAGCACTTGTGTTCGCATTTTTTACAGCATTATTAATTTTCTTCGTTAATTAATATAATTAATCAAAATTAAACACAAAACTTATTGAGGATTAAAGGAAAAGACCATAATTAATTGAAATTTAGAATCTAATATATTTTCTGTTATTGATATATGAAGATAAAACGATGAGAATAAAATCTTATTAAAGTTCTGCATACAATAGAGAAAATATTATAATTAGAAATAGAAATACATTTTAGACATAAAGGAATAAACCACGTATGGCTCTTAGGCCTTTCTTATTTGTAGTTATGCTTTAAAAGAATAAATATTAAATATTAGAAATAAAAATAGAAATAAGGAATTTTTTAATTTTAAAACAAGGAACCAAGAAATGGACTAAATTTAGAGAAAATTAAATATGGAGAATATAAATATTAATATGACAACAGTGAAGTATAAATATCATGAGAAAAAACTTTATTATTTATATACATATATTAATATTAAATAATTTGATATTTACAAAATACACTAGTTTACAAAAAAAAAACAGAACATTCTTAAAAGAAAATTTTTAAAACATTACTTAGTTTTGAATATCTTAAAATATTTTCTATTTTTTGTAAAAACTTATTGGAATAAAAATAACTATAATTTAAATATCTTAGTGTCTTTAATAAACGCTGCTTTGGAGTTAAATATTTTCTTAAACCATTTTTAAATAAAAAATGAAAATATTTTTTTTAAAAGATTATTATATATGTATTTCTGACATCACTTTGATGTAAAGAAAAAAAGACCTACATCATTTTTAAGTTCTTTCACAAAAGTTGAAAAATCATTTACATCATCTTTTTGTAAATTGATAGGGTGAATCCAACGTTTATTTCTTAAAAATATATGATTTTTTCCTCTTTAATATTTAAGTAATATTTCCATTATTAGAAATAAGAATCTCCATATTATTTTATCGACAAAAGATGTACACTAATAAACAAAAATAATATAATTAATAAATAATACGCGCGCGATTTTGTTTATTAATAATAAGTATAAATGACATTTTAGCAAACTAAATTATTCTTGCGATTTACGTGTTATTTTTCGTTTTACTGCAGTGTTTTTATGTTTAACATAATTGTTGTAGTGTTAAAATATACCGAAGATTTTCATTTTAGCATTATTTAATATGTAAAAGTAAATATTTATTTTATTTTTGTTCTTGGTTAGGCTCAATTCAATTTGACATGTATATATATATATATATATATATATATATATATAATTATTTTAATATTTTATAAATATTATCATAAATATTTTATAAATGTTTTTGAAGTCTTAGATTCAATAGATAATAAATACATGTAAAATGCAACGTACCTGTAACTGTAACAGACATGTAAAATATAACGAAAACTCTCCTTTTGTTTAAGTAATCAATAATTAACATATATAATATATATATATATATATATATATATATTATATATGTTAATTATTGATTACTTAAACAAAAGGAGAGTTTTCGTTATATTTTACATGTCTGTTCTATCGATTTTAAACGCTCTATTTTATTGAAAAACATTTTTATTTTAACGTAACCCAGATAGCAGACAATATTTAAGATATAAATTTATAAATATTTTATAAATTTATGAATATATATTTTTTTCAAATATTATATAAATATTTTGAAAATGTTTTATAAAAACCTTTTATTAAAACATAGATTAAATATTTCGTATAATATTTATGGTATGTAAAGATAAATATTTATAATAATTATTTTGTAAATATTTTTTAACTAAATTATTAGTTCTTTCATTTACCGCTGTGACGTATCTTTCTCGTATTTGATTTTCATCGTGAGAATTATATAAGGCTGGCAAAAACGGAAATTAATAAAATTAAAAATGTCAAAAAATTATTTCTATTTTTGAGCTACATTCTACAACAGAATGTCTTTTAACAAATAAATTTACGTACAAATCAATATATACGAGACTACTCTTCTGCCTACGTATATTCAGTGCATATTATAATTTTATATTCTATTTTAAAATAAATGTACCTAATAAGTTACTTATAAACATTTTTTACACATTTTTAATTTTTTATAAATGGCTAATAGAGTTTGAAAAAACACAAAAACATCTAATCGATCAAATTTTAGATTAGACTATATCAACCGATCGTTTTGATTGAAAAATCGTTGATTATATTTTTTTAACTCATGATTTCTTACTGCGAGTATTTATTAAAGAAAATATAAATATGATGTTTTTTTAAATCGGCCAACAGAGCCAAAGCACGAAAAATTAATTATTCGGAACTGTATCTCTTGGTTTGAGATCACTAAGTTCCATATATAAATTAATCTCGAAACTTACATATGGAGAAATTTTTCGTGCTTTGGCTCTGTTGGCCGATTTAAAAAAAAACATCATATTTATATTCTTAATATTAAGAGCCGATAAAAATATTTCTTTCTAAGAAAATATAAATTTAAAAAATTTGTATCATAATGATATAATAAATATATTTATAATATTTACCATAATATTTATCGTAAATATTTTTTTATATTAATGATAAATATTTATTATCTATTGAATCTAAGACTTCAAAAACATTTATAAAATATTTATGATAATATTTATAAAATATTAAAATAATTATTATAAATATTCTATAATATTTTATAAATATTTTGTGTTGTCTGGGAAGTTGTAAGAATATTTTCATAATATATTTTCTCGCTTCTGACGTCATCAATCCAAGATGGCTGCAGTAAGTATGAATTATTTTTCTTCATAATTCTGCAACCTATAGATATATGAGACTATACAGATTGATAAATCTGTGGAAGCGCTCTAATTTCAGGTAAAGCAATCCGTATAGCCAATAAATACATTTATAGTTTATCTAACCTCACATTTTGTCGATAAAACAGGATTGAAATTCAAAGACGTTTTTAGGACTTCTTTTAATATTGCAAGTTGTAAGATTATAACTTTGCTGTAATATGTAAATTGAAATGTTCTGTGCTATATGGGTTCGTAAATTGAACATTTTTAAGACGTCCAAATATATAAATATACTTTAAACATCCAATTTAATGGATTTATTCTTAAAACATTCATATAATATGTCCAGAGTTGGGTAATAACTAGTTAAATAGTTAAAAGTTTAAAAAAGTTAATAACTTTTAACTTAGCTTAGTTAATTTAAAATGTATTAATTTTTAACTTCAACTAGTTATTTTTGATCTTAAACTTATTAACTTTTTCCTAAGTTAAATTTCTTTTATCTCTGAATGCCATTATTGTATAAGTATATTTTATAAGTTATTATACACGTATTATTTTTAAATTAAAGTATTATTAATTTTTATGTTTCATTTGTCATCAATTGTAATTACGAAAAAATATATTTCTATTTAAAAATTAGAATTTTTTTGTTATTTATTATAAATTTTGAAAGAATTAACAAACAAAATTCTAATTTATAATAATAATTCTAATTTATAATAATATAAATAATGTTTTTAAAAATTAATATTTGATTTAACTTCAGTTAATTGAATTTTAACTTAACTTTAATTGAGGTAAGTTTTTGTTTATACAACTTTTAACTCTTAACTAAATTAATTTTATAAGCAATAAATTTTAACTTTAGTTTAAGAAAAATGATTAACTTATTCAATCCTGATTATATCTATGAACATTTGAACTAAATAAGAGCCAAAACTGGGCGTCCACTGGACATTCTGTGCTCCTTCTATTTGAGACTTTCTTTCTTCTCGATCAACATTCTCGAAAGTAATGAAATTTCATTTCGGAGCGTCGCGGCGCCGCCGCTAACGCCGCGCATCCGCCGACGCAGAGGTGTCGGCGGGCGCCGGGCGCGAAGTGGAGCCACGAATAATCGCCGCATAGATCCCGGCTGATAGTTGACGATCTTCGGCGCAATGTGCGGCCGCTCCGGGAATTTTAATTCGGTGGTCCTCTTCGCCGCGTGCGGTCTATTGATGACGGCTATCACTAGCAGCGGCGATATCGCCGACAATGAATCCTTATCAGTGCTAAGGGATGATCCGCGCTGCTCGCCGTCGCTCAGCGTGATCTTTAACGTGTCGGAAAACAGTATCGCATCGAAAGAATCGATCGAGAGGGACAATTGCAGCCTTCTCCCCCACAACAATACGATTCCGGCCCATTTACGTTGGACTGATGACAATAATGTCACCTACGGTTGCATCTGTAAGTTACGCAACTGCATTAGGAAGTGCTGTCGCAGTGACGAAGTGCTCCCCAAGGATCTCTCGAAGAAGCCGGAATGTCAGAAGATAAATGATACCACGATGACGGCGAAGATAATGCCGGATCTGCTTTTACCAAAGGAACAAATGGCCGAAGAGTTATTGACTGGCCAATGTGTTGGCAAGCTTAAAGAGCGATTCTTTTTGCTGGAGAGCTTCATCGATTGTCCTGCCGGCACTTACGCTCTTCAACCAGAAGCATATCAGGAGGATAAGGTTGTCCTCCAAGTGAATGGCAGTCTCGTAGGTCCTGACGGAAAGGTATATCCATTCTGGAATTATTGTCTCGATTGGCATGTGACTTCCGACCGAATCGGTATTTTGGTCTGCGTGACGCAAGATATGTCACTGAATGAAAAAATACGGCCCATCATGTGGGTATTATGGTGTCCATTCCGTTCCTCATCGCTACTTTTCTGGTATACACGATTATCCCCGAGTTGAAGAATCTCTACGGCAAAACACTTATGTGCTACGTCATCTGTTTAATTACCGCCTACGTTTCCCTGCTCTCGGCTAAATTATACATTTACATGTCTTCAATACAGACATTATGCATCATTATAGGTAAATATTTTAGCTAATTAGTTAATGGAGCTTACTTTTTATTTGCTGAGATAAATAGTTTAGCATGTTTTGTTGTTCTTACCTTACTTGGTTGTTAATTAATATGTAAAATTAATAATATATTTTATACTTATGCTAATTGGCTCGATAGTTAGAAATATAAAAAAATTAATAAATAGTAGGCCTTTTCTAGGAGCAGGAAACAAAAATAAAAATTAAATCATTAAAATTAATATAAATAAAATTAAACGATGTTGATATCAGATGTCAAATATTCATTTATTAAGTTAGTGGCGGAAACCGCTACTAATTTAATAATAAATATTTGACATCTGATATCAACATCGTTTAATTTTATTTAATGATTTAATTTTTATTTTTGTTTCCTGCTCCAGAAAAGGCCTACCATTTATTAATATATTTTATATACGAGAGAGAGAGAGAGAAAATCTTTTTCTTAAAATTTCCTAATTTTGTGTATAAATAAAAACATGCTCCTTAGTTTGTTAGTTTTTTACAGTTTTAAAAATATGATTAAAATTCTTTTTTAAAGATTTTTTAAAATAAAATTTCTAGAGATCTTTTTTAAATCTTCATAAACTTTATGCAATTTAAAAAATTTGTGATGTAAATACGCTAATTTATAAATTAGATTTATTTTACCAAAGTTTATATATAAAAATAACGTAATTTAATTTAAAATTAATTAATTTAAAATAAAAGTTGCTGAATTTGATTGAAAATTGTTTAATATTTAAAAGATTTAATATTCTCTATGCACATATTTTTCTTTACACGGAAAGCAAATCACATAGGTATGAAGAGTAACGATAACAGTAATTGTTGAATTCGTTACTCGTTATCGAAAAAAATGTATCTGTGTGTAAATTATTTTTCCGATATACAAAAAAATTTTAACGCCGTTACTGTTACAATTACAAAAAAGTAACATAACGATAACAGCGCTACAAAAATAACGTGTTATTTTTCAATATATATATACATCTCTAAAACTGTTTCAGTCTTCCAAATTTCTCACTCGGTTAATTCTAAGAAATATTTCATATTTCTTGATAAATTTTAATTTTCAGATTTATCTTTTTTTTAGAATAGTTTTTTGTGAATTAAATTATTATTATATTACTAGCTAATTTTATGCATATGTATATGTATACATGTGCGTGGGCGAATGTGTTTATACATACATTATACGTAATATTATTAGTGCTATATACACATATATTCCACTCACTAATATATAGAACATAAATAGACAGACGTCATATATGTGAAATCAGCTACAGTATGTGCGCGTTTTTCTGGACGCATGATTCTCATGTCTCTGCGATTAGCGATAACACAAGAACCACATGCTACCATTTTCTCTAATACGATTTAATTACAATTACTACACATTACGTATTTCGAAAAATCCAACGTGATCGACAGTTTTTTCTTTTATGATATAAAGATGAATCAACCTTAACAGTACACATATCCCAAAGATATTCAGAAAACCTGAGGATGTTCGAATGTCCTCTGGATATCCTCTAAATATTCTCTGAATATTTTTCGGATATGTTGTGCTATTAGGAAAACAAACCTCTCGAGAAAGTCAATGAGTACATCATGCATTGAGCTATCATCATACTTTCAATTTATCGTAAAACAAATGTTAATGATCTCTCTTCTCCTCTTTCTCTTTCCCCTTTTGCAGGCATGTAAACATACAGGTGACGAGTGTAAACCGGTTTCTATATAATAAGGTTTTCGTTGTCTGCTCTTGCATTGGCAGCCATCTTTTGTAGAATAAAATAAAAGCATCTGCGAATAACGATGAAATGATACATTTAATGTAATTTTAATTCTTGGTCAAATACGCATATTTCTTTTAAAGCTTGGAGAGAGATAATGTGTAAATTTAAAATCCATATTATCGATTTTCAAGATAAATTTTATCCTGAGTGCGATATCAAAATGTATCTATCACTCTAAAATATGTTTCTCACAAAAGTTGCTTGAGTTTAAGAAAGACACAAGACAGTGATATTAATTTAATGATGCATCATTTTCGAGAAATTCATTAATAATCACTATATTTTTAAATAGAAACCGATTATTTTTTTCAAATCAAAGTTATAAGCTTTATCTAAACAGATCTATGTTAAGGTTTTTTATTTTTTTATAAGGTACAATTTTTTAAATTTAAAAATTCGAATTTTCTTGTATAACTAAAAAAGCTTGATAATTATTTTAAACTTATTCAGGGTTCATTTTAAAGTTACTCAAAGCCATGTCCTTGATAATATATATATATCAAGGTCATTGAAATCTGTGAGGTCTGATATAAACAATTACTATAATAGTTTTTCTCTTTGCTAAAAGTTTTTGGTTCCAAAAGTTCATTTAATACTTTATAAATCTATTTCTATTGTTTTCTTCCAAATGTAATGAATTCTCATCGAAATATATTGAATATAGCTAAGTGTCCGAATTTATATTGTTGGATCAGTGAATAATTTTTTAAACTAAGTTAAGTTAAAATTAGTTGTTTATAAAATTAATTTAGTTAAATTAAAAGTTTGCATGAGTAAAAAATTAACTCAATTGAACTTAAGATTAAATTAACTAAAATTAAATCAATAAAAGTTAATTTTTAAAAACATTATTTATATTAAGTTAGAATTTTGTTTGTTAAATTCTTTTAAAATTTGTAATAACAAAAAAAATTTGATTTTTAGAAATATATTTTTTTGTAATTACAATTGATGACAAATAAACATAAAATTATTAATATTTTAATTTAGAAATAATACAATTATAACTTATAAAAAAAAACAATAATGGTATTCAGAGATAAAAAAATTTAACTTAGGAAAAAAATTAATAAGTTTAAGGTCAAAAATAATTAGTTGAAGTTACAAATTAATACATTTTAAATTAACTAAGCTATAAGTTAAAAGCTATTAACTTTTTTTTAATTTTTAACTAATTAACTTATTACCCAACCCCGCTAAATAGAAACCAAAACTGAACGTCCGTGCTGTCGGGGTATTAGTAAAGCTATGGTTTGAAAAACGAAGATTCTTTCGGTTCGCCCTGTATATATGTGTACATACATATACCGCCTCGCAGCAGGTAGAGAGACCGCTTCTTTAACGCCGTGGACGACTCATCGTCCGGTAGTATCGCTTTATTGCTCGTGCGAGTATATGCGTTTCTCGCGTGCTCTCTCTCTTATTTCTCTAGAAGAGAAGTCGCAGAGCGAAAACCAAATAGAATCAGTTTTATCAAGTCCAGTGAGATAGCTGAAAGTCGCGACCTTAATCGCGCTAGCGATAACAGTGTTATATTTCATCCGAATGAATATTTTTCTTGTTTCGACGATTTATTGAAAAAAAAGGAAAAAGAAACCGCATATAACTTTACTTTCTTTTTATTACGTTCTGATAATATTTATATATGCATAATATTATTATATTATATCGTGAAATTGACGTAAATCTTGTTGTTTTTATATTTTGATGTTTAGATATACACTTTTTGAAAAATCAGATTAATTGGATTATTAATTAGAGATTAACGGAATAGAAAGTTTGCAATTTATAGTAATAGAATATCTTTTTACCACATTATATAACAGGTAACGACGTTTCCTCTTATGTACAATCAAATTTGCTTATTCAACAAATTGATTAAAACCAAAGGATCAAAGTTTCTATATTGTACATATTAGTTTCGATGTATTCTTAAGAATATTTATAGCTATACAGATACTATACATTATTATCTCTCATCTCACTATGTATGTAAATATATATATAATATATAACATATAAATCAAAACGTATGTATATATATGTATGTATATATATATATATATATATATATATATATATATATGTATACATACATTTATACATATATGTGTGTGTGTATATATATATATACACACATATATGTATAAATGTATATATACATACATATATATATATATACATACGTTTTGGTTTATACGTATTTTGATTTATTTACATAAATGTGTTTGATTTTAAATAATGATCGTTTCACAGAAAATATGATTACATTGAAATGCAAATTAGATATTTTAGTTGTTATCAATCATTTAGTCTCTTTAATTTACTAAGTGATCACTTAAAAAATATCATACATAAATTATTGCATATTTTTAACATTTTATATAATTATTTGTCATTTAATATATGCTATATACATTTTTTCATTTTTATTAATTGAAGGCTTTTATTTTATTTATAAATAACTATATTTTACGATTGTTATTGTGTAATCTTCCTAACAGCATACATATCCCGAAGACGTTCAGAGGACATCCTAAGGATGTTCTCTGGATATCCTCAGAATGTCTTTCGAATATGATATGCTATTAGGGCCGTGCTGTCCTTTAAAATATATTCTAAGTTTGCATGCTCTTTTACTAACTCGATTGAGCTTAATTTAGCAATTCACTAACAAAGCAACGGAACGTAATAAATTAATCTAAGCGTGATAGTAAAAGATTAATCAGGCATTATTATATTATATGGGTCATAAAAGAGAAAAGTCTATCAGCGCGTGCGCGTACTCCCAAGAGAGTCATCGCATTCACTTCCTCTCTCTCTCTTTCGCCATTTCTTGCGGCACTTTCGTGAGTAAGCTTCCGTAAACGAGGCGATAACACTGCGAGAGGCGATGGTGATAATAATTATTTCGAGTTGCCACATTTCGCAGCAGCACAACTTCACTAATTAGTACAGAATGAAACGTCATCTGAGAACGGCCCTGTTCCTCGCTTGTCCTGCGATCCTGATCGCAACCGCTCTCGAAAGTAATCAGACGGAAGAAAAGTCAAAGGGATCATGGGAGGAAAGCTTTATCATCTCTCATGTTTATTCGGAGGTAGAGATAATTCCAAGTCCAATCGCATTATTCTTCGTGTTGGATTCGTATAATTTATCAACGATTCTAATTTTAGCGTTGCTTCGCTCTAATACGCGTATACATGTATATACATATATATATATGTATATTTCTACTATACGTAATTCCAGGGTTGGGTAATAACTAGTTAATTAGTTAAAAGTTTAAAAAACGGTTAAAAAGTTAACTTTTAACTTAGCTTAGTTAATTTAAAATTTATTAATTTTTAAATTCAACTAGTTATTTTTTACTTTAAACTTATTTTTTAATCTCTGAATACTAATTATATCTCTGTATATATAATAATTTTATCTCTGAATGTTGTTTTTTTTTTATAAGTTATAAATGTATTATTTTTAAATTAAAGTATTATTAATTTTTATGTTCATCAATTGTAATTAGCAAAAAATAAATTTCTATATAAAATCCAAATTTCTTTATTATTTGTTATTATAATTTTAAAAAAATTAACAAACAAAATTCAAATTTAATATATTTTTAAAAATTAACTTTTGATTTAACTTCAGTTAATTTAATCTTAACTTTAACTGAGTTAATTTCTTTTCATGCAACTTTTAACTTAACTAAGTTAATTTTATAAGCAACTAATTTTAACTTAACTTAGTTTTAAAAAACTATAAAGATGATATAAAACTATAAAGTCACTAGATAATAATTAAAAAATGGTAATAATTCAATCGACCAACTCTGGCAAATAAGTAATTTTATTGAATATTCACAACGAAATAACTATGATAATACATAGTTATTTTGTTTTCATACTATCATGTTATTATATCATGTCATATTCTAAGATCGAATTTTTTTTTTTTAAAAAAGTTGTGATTTACTTTGTTTTAGGAACATAGCACTTGATAAGGGCCGAAACCCACGGCCGAAACGTTGTGAATATTCAATAAAATTACTTATTTGCCAGAGTTGGTCGATTAAATTATTACCATTAGTTTTAAAAAATTATTTAGTTACCCAACCCTGCATAATTCTATATTAATGCCCTATTATTTATTAGTTTGCACGAGCAATTATTAATATAATATAATGTGTAATAAAAAATAATTTTTTCGAACACGAGAATAAAAATAATTGTTTTTTATAATTTTTTGTTATGCATACAATCTTTAAAATACTCTTTTCTGTTATAACTTTAAGAAATTTAAAGTTTGTAAAAAATAACTATTTTAATTAATTTATTATATTACAGTTATGATAATGTATATGTGCTAAAAATGAAATATTATTGTAAATTGAAGTTATAATAGTATTTTTATGATTACATATATTATATATTTATACATAATAAAATACACACATACAAGATGTTTCTCATTTTAAGTAATATAGTCGATTATCTTGAAAGTAAAACAATTCAGAAACAATTTTGAGAAAAATGTTTCAAATATAAAAGTTGTAGGATATTTCGATAGGAACATAATATCGTCACTTAGAGTTGCCTTTATAAATGGTGTTTTTAAAGTCATTTGAAGGTCAAGTTGCTAGCTAATTGCAATTTACATACTTTTTATTAAAATCAACTATATGTTTTCTTTACACAATTTTGTCATTATTTTGTGCATAAAATTATTGAGGTAAAATTAACTAAAAATGAATTTTACGATATTTTATAGTTCATATAAGATTATGTCAAACAAAAGTGTAAAATATCTCATAAATTATTCAGCTTTTGACTATCCTACTCTTATAACTTCTTATATTAAATATTACGAAAAATTAATTTATATAAAAATCTTAGAATGGCTTCGTTTAAGAAAATTATGTTGACCTCTAAATGACTTTAAAAAATGCCATCCAAGGGAAATTCTAGATTACAATGTTTTCTTCGAAACCCTGCAACTTTTAAATAAAACATTTTTCTCAGATATGTTTTAGTTTTAAGATAATTGAGTGCATATCTCTTAAAATATCCCCTGAACACATACAGGGTGAACATACGATCATCTTAAATTATTCTGTTGTTGATGGACCGATAAAAATTTTTGTTATATAATATAATTCAATGAGGCTTTTAAGAAGCTTAGTATATTTTTTATCAGTTTTTTTATCACCTTTAGTTCTTTTATAAATAAACCTACAATTTTTTATGTTCATCTTTTAGTGTATTTTAAACCGAATTCAGCAAGTACATCATAAAATATTTAAAAATTGAATAGTTTACGAGTTCTTTTATTTTAATTTGACATAATTTTACATAAACTATAAAATATATTTTATATAAATTATAAAATATATCTTGTAAAATATTCATTTTTTGATTATCTTACCTTAATAAATATTTCTGCACAAAATAATAGAAATCAATTTGTGTAAAAGAATACATAGTTGTTTTTATGTATATAATTTACAAATAGCAGAAAAAATTTAAATACAACGGCTAATAAGAACAAAGCGCGGATCGAGGTGCAAATAAAAAAAGTCAATCCAATAGGCAGTATTTTACTTCTTCAAGTCATATGTTTGGGTTCTCCTTTTGATTCTCTTCAGTTAATATTATCAAAAGAAGTTGATTAAAACTTGACCATCTATATAATATAAATCGCATGTCTTTAATTAGAAATATCATTGCATTGCAATTCATATCCATTCTTCTGACGGTCGGAATCGATTGAAGGCATTTCTGATTGTAAAAGAGAGAGTTCATGAAAAATTTCATGATGTTCACTATAATTAACTTTTTATTCGTTAACTTTTTCAAAGCCTTTTGTTTATTAATTTTTAACAGAAAAAAAATTCAATCTATCCATTAACAACAGAATAAAATAAGATTGATCACCTTGGTTAAACAGTTACCCTATATGTTGGATTCATTACATCGTTAAAAAATTGAATTAAAATGTTAAGAATTGCAAATAAATTTTTTGAATGTAAATTCGATATATCAACATAATAAATTTAAAATTATATATTCAATATGACATTTATTATAATTAATAAACTTAAAAAATTATTTTAAATTTATTAATTTTGACTTGTTAAAATTGATTAATTCGATTAAATTATCTGTAACCCTTAATGATTTAATAATAAAATAATAAATATTTATTATTTAATATTAAAAAATGAAAACTTTTTTTAGCACGTTTTATGTTATAAATGTAATATAATAACAAGGTTGATATTCTTTAGACGACCAAACCGGCTAATAATGGAAAAATTACTTTATTTACTCAGCAACGTTTCGACCCTGAATTAGATCCTCTTTTATGTAGCCTTAAAGCTACATAAAAATTACAGTAAATAAAACTGTTATTTTACTTTACTTGTATGCCAAATTAGACCGCTCCAAGTCAAATAATTTTTGAGATATAAAAAAACACAAGTGTAGGTGTGCACATACATCCGTACATACATACCCATTTTTTAAAAATGTGTTTTTTCGATGTTTTGGAACATTCTAAACACATTGGTATAGAAATCTGAAAAAATTTTTTTTTCATCAAAACAGTTTCCTCTATGAGGAAGCAATACGGCAAATTGAAATTATGTACATAATAGAAAAATTCGGCAAATTAAAATTATTTATATAATAGAAATTCGATGAAATAAAATTATATACATAATAGAAATTAGAAATTTAATAAATTAAAATTATATACGTAATAGAAATTTAGGAATACAAATTATGTACATAATAGAAATTCGGGAATTAAAATTATGTATTTAATAGAAATTCAGGATTTAAAATTATGAATATAATAGAAATTCACTAATTAAAATTATATGTACATAATAGAAATTCGGTACATTAACATTATATACATAATATTTTAATAATTTTAATAATTATCATACCAGATTGAAGTTTACATATGAAATTAAAAGTAATGGATCTATTAATTTTTTAGACACTACTATTATTAGAAATAATAACAACCTAATAACTAACTGGCACAGAAAATCAACTTTTTCTGGCAGAATAAATTATTTGTCTAGCCATCTTCATAAGTATAACATTAATACAATAATTAATCTCACGAACAGAGCTATTTTATTTTCGGATAGAAAATTTCATACACTGAATATTTCCATAGTAAAAAAGATTCTCTTGAACAACTGTTATCCGGTGGATGTTTTCGGTGTAATTCGGTGACACCAGAGATTAAGATATCTACAATAATTATGAAAATGGTGAATTAAAGCCAACTAACGAGCAACATTAAAAAAACAAACTAAATTAATATATAAACGCTTTTAATGTTAAAAATTTACATATTTTAAATTTTACAAACGTTTCCACTGTACTACAGTTTTCATCAGTGTTAAACTTATAAATATAATTAACCTAATGATGTACAAAAAAAATTTTTTTAAAGACAATTTATATTACATTATTTTAAAACAAACAATAAAATTTAAAAAACAAGACTTCGGAATTGAATCATTAGTCTAAAAAATGCAAACCGAAGGAGGCTCTCACCACAATATATAAAGGGACAATGACACATAACTGTGTTGAGAACAAAAGGAAAATTCAAATCGCAGTGGCAGATATCCTTATTCACATAAGTAAGCTGATTAATATATTAATTGTAAAATCAAATAGTTTTCGTAATTCACATAGTCACAACGTTAAGATTGTATTATATTTAGCGGCAGAACTAAGGGACAACGATTTCCACGTCGTCAAACGTTGGAATTAGAAGATGATCCCTTCAATTCAGAACTCACATAGTTTTAACAGTTGTGACAGCAAATTTGCAATAATTTATATAAGATAAGGCGATGACACACGAAAAAACAGGAAATTTTATATCCTTTGGTTTGCATTTTTTAGCCTAATGACTCAGTTCCGAAGTCTTGTTTTTAAAATTTTATTGTTTGTTTTAAAATAATGTAATATAAATTGTCTTTTAAAAAAATTTTTTTGTACATTATTAGATTGATTATATTTATAAGTTTAACACTGATAAAGACTAGTACAGTGGAAACGTTTGTAAAATTTAAAATATGTGAATTTTTAACATTAAAATCATTCATATATTAATTTAGTTTGTTTTTTAATGTTGCTCGTTAGTTGGCCTTAATTCACCATTTTAATAATTTGTTATTTCAAATACAGAGCTGGATTGTTCATTATTTTTATTTATATTTTATTATTAAAATTTAAGATACCTATATTTTTTGAGTGATCAACAGATAATGAGTATTAAAAAAACCCCGCACATGTCGAGATGTATTGTCCTTTCGTACATCAAGGGTTTAAGTGAGGATGTTCGTCGGATTTTAAAGAATCATGGGTTGAGTATGCTTTATACGGTTTTCAAAAAACTTGACACTTTGATCTTAAAAGGGAAGGATCAACTTATACCTGGCAGGAGAATGAAGATTGTTTATAAAATTGCGTGTAATGACTGTACGGCATGCTATATTGGACAAACCAAATGTTATCTTGAGACACGGATTAGATAGCATTATAATAATATAAAAAATCACAAGAGCAATCACTCTGTTATTAGTAACCATAGGATTATGATTTTGGTTGGTCGTCGGTTTCTATTTTGCATAATGAATGTAATATTAAAAAGAGAGAAATCAGCGAAATGATTTATATTAAAAAACATAAAGATGCTATTAATTTACAAAGGGACACTGATAATTTAAACGCTATTTATGACATTATTCTTAACGTATTTTAATTATCCTTCACTTTGTTGTTTTTTTTTATTGTTTGGATTATGTTTATTTCTCCTTTTTAACTCCGTCAGTTTATTTATGATATTTATGATATTTTTGACTATTATCAATTTATATTGTGCTTTTACTTACCATTAGTGCACACGGTTAAATGATGATTGAATTGTTATTTACGTATGATCATTTACTAGTTTTCACGCATAATTTATTGAAATTAATTCACATATAATCATCATGTATATTGTATAATTTTTTGTACAACATATATCAGGTTTTTATTATATTTTTTATATTATTGTATAATTTTTTATATCATTGTATAATTTATTATTTCAAACTTATTATCATATTTATTTTTGTTATATAATGATATCACATTGTCTCTGTTATGTAGCCTGAAGAGGACTCAATTCAGGGTCGAAACGTTGCTGCGTAAATAAAGTAATTTTTCCATCATTAGCCGGTTTGGTCGTTTAAAGAATATCAACCTTGACTTTAATTTCATCGGCAACTAACTTTTTATTTTTATGATAATATAATAAGTTTGATAAGTTACTTCAATAAGTTATTGATATAATTATAATAGTATAATTACAATAATAATTATAATTATAATAAATTAATGGTCATTTTTATAATTTTAATTTTGAATTTTTTAAATCTATGCGATTTTAAATAATTTGGATTTATATTTAATTAATTATAAGAAAACTATAAAAATGATTATTTTTTCTTGTTAAGTATTTTTTTTAATTGTAATTAACTTTAGAATTTTAATAACTTTGTAAATATAATTTCGCAGATACAATTACTAACTATTTATACCACAATTAACCAAGATTTTCAGTAAGACTCACTTATTTTTGAAATTTAAACTTAAAAATTTTAATTGTAATTACTTTTAATTTTACTTTTTTCACAACTTTAACATTTTGAAAACGAGACAGTTTAGGACATATGTTTATATAACTCTTTATGAAATAAGCCAAGAAATATCCCTTTAAATTTTTTGTACTTAGAAAATACTGTATATTTTATAATATAATTTAAAATTATTTTTTTCTTTTATTTGTATAAATACAGCAAAGAATTAAAATATTGGATAATATTATGGATATAGTCATTTTAGAAGAATATCAGAAATAAAATTTTATATAATGTATTAAAAATAAAATTATTTTATAATATACAGGATATTCTATTTTAACTTTTGCATTGAGATTTCTCGAAAATCAAAGCTTCTATCACAAAAAATATTTCATACAAAAATTGTAGGATTTCAAAGGAGACGTCTTGCCTAAACATAGTCTTATTCCAGATAGAGACATTTTTGAGATTTAGAGATCATCATTACTATTTTAAACCATCTACTACACAATTTTCTTACATAATTTCTCGTAATATTTGACGTAAAAATTTATTAAAGTAAAATAATTAAAAAATGAATAATATGATATATTTTATGCTTCATTCTGACACATTTTGACAAAAAATATAAAATACCATTTTTCGATAATTTTACCTTAATAATTTTCTACATAGACTAATAAAATGAATCAATTGATGTAAGAAAAACATAATTTGTGATTAATAGTAAATTGTAAGTTATAATGGGCGCAACTGCATATTTTTTAAAATAATTATGTTCTTTCTTAACATTAATTGATTTATTCTACACAAAATTATTAAGGTAAAATGATCAAAAAATAAGTATATTACGAGATATTTCAATAATTACAACTTTGTATAAAATATTCGATAAAGGCTTTGATTTTCAAGAAATCTCAATGTAAAGGGACATCTTCTTTATACATATATCACTAGTTTCTAATAGTTGGTTTTATTAACGCATATTATATTCATAGCAATATTTTGCAATAGAAATCTGAAAATTAATATTAAATTTTTTTCTACACAAATTATATTCGTCTATTAGGGTTAATTCTCATTTGTCTTCATTTCCTCGGATTGTTTTTCCTTAGATGACGACTGATGTCGATCACGGCTCCGGAAAGCCTCGTGTGTCGCTATGTTGTCGCGTTAATTCCTTCCTCATCGGAGACGAGTGCGTAAAGGGGTCGACAAACGGGACGGAGATGGTTCAGCTGCCGGAGATTTACAACGAGACGAATCTCGCGCTGGCAAATCTCACTACGAGTGACGAGTACTTTAATTTTGTCGTATGGAATCCGTGCGTCGGTAAGAATCGGTACGCTTTGAATCCGCGTGATTACGAGGACGAGAAATGGTATCTCGTGTCCAACGGCTCTATATTACGACCTTTAGCCGAGGAGCTGGAGGAACGTGTCCTCGACTATCGTCAATACTGTTTAGCCCGAGTGAGAAGCCACGAGTATCGGGAATACCTGGCGTTCTTCTGCGAAGAAATGTACCCAATCGAGGATGATGGCAGTGGGGTCGTGTACTCTTTCGGAATGCTCGTGTCCGTGCCGTTTCTGGCAGCCACATACGTCATTTACTGGTTACTACCTGACCTAAAAAATTTGCACGGCCTAACCTTACGCGGATACGTCGGTTGCTTGGCAACGGCGTACAGTATAGTGGGGATACTACAGCTGACACCGCAGGAACAAATCATGATCGACGTCTGCATCGCACTCGGTATACCCACTAGAATGACGTGTGACATCTCTTCTTAACGTTTGTGCTGCTGTTATCGCAAAAAAAGAATTCTGAGATGAGAGAGAAAATACTCTACTGCACGAAACGAAAATCTCCGACTGCATTAAACATTAAATTGTTATCAATTTTTTAATTTTAGTGATTTTTTATTTATTGCGTTTTTCTTTTTATACACCCCTCAAAATAATTAAGGAATAAAAAATGGTCCAAAAAATTGGCTAATTTTAAATAGCTGTAACTTTGTTTCGAAAAATGATAATTTCCTCGTTATTTTCACTTATTTGTAAAAAGTTCACGAGTTAAAAAAAATCAGTCACTATATCATATTATAGAGCAAAGATTCAACTTTGAGAATCCATGCATTCTTAAAATTGCTGTACAATTTTAACGGAGTTATGAATGATTAAGGTGAAAATAACATTTTCTCTTCAATTTACAATAACTTGATAAGGAAAGATCAAAATTTAAATTTTGAAAAACGATTTTGCAGAGAAAACTTTAGGTTTTAACGTGTAAATGTCAAAAATTTTTTCAAATCTTCTTGTGTATGCGACATGTATATAAAGTGAAAAAAAATTTTTTATTATGTTCGTCGTTTTCTGTACGTAAAAATATCAGAATTGAAGAAAATGAAAAAAGTTATGACCTTTTGAAAGTAGAGATTTCAAGCTTTAAAACCTTTTTTTAAAATTTAAATTATCATTTTTCGAAACAAAGTTATAGCTATTATATAATATTTGCCTATTTTTTGGGCCATTTTTTGACCCTTTAATTATTTTGAGGAGTGTAGTATACATATCTCTAATATATATCTATTAAATATCGTCAGTGTCACTGAATGGAATGCGATTTTAGAAATCTTACGGATTAATAAACTATTTAATAAAAACGTACGACAACTTTCTAAACAAGTTCTCGCAACATCTCTTTTTCTGCAGACGTGTAAGTGTGTTGACATTTTAAAAAAGTCATACGCGATTTTATTACAGTGCTTATAGTTCACGATGTACAGTCCCTCATCAATTTATTATGGTCGTCTTTTTATCTTTTCATCTTTATAAATCATATTATGCTATAGCATATTAGTGAAATTAAAAATGTATTTTTAGATTATACGTAACAGAGCATACTTTTAGTGGCAACACTTAATGTAAATTGATTTTTGAAAATGGCAACAGTGACATATTACACAGTTCTAATGGTTTTGGCGCTAACATGTTAATGCTAATACTTATAAATCAAAAAATAAGTGCTTGAATTATATAATCAATTATACATATAATTAGAGAGTGCGTAATTGGAGTATATTTTTTCTTAGCTCGCTTTATTTTTTTTCATTATTTTGCTTTATTTGCGTTTAATGTAACTGCTTATTTTTTCATTCAACTAACAACTAAAAAATAAGTAAATTTTAAGTATTCACACAAAATTTAAAACTTATATGATAATTGAAATTTATAATGCTAAACCTGATTGATTCATTTACTTAATATACATATTTTAAAATTATTATTTTATGAATATTGTATTTTAAATATTTATTTTAAATTACTCTTTCCAAAATTTTTTAAAGATATTGAAAATAGAATATAAATAAAATTTTCATAAAACTCAGGCATAATAATACATCCCGGCTACTATAAAGCAAATTGTCTAAACATATGTTTTTTTGTCAATCTGAGAAAATGTTAAAAGTCTAAGTAAACACTCCCTAATCGAAACAAGCATTTACATTAAATTATACCTTTTCTTCTCCATAAATATATCTCTCGCAAATTAAATTATGGAACTTAAGAAGGGCTTAACATATTTCCCTGTCATCCTATCACCATTCGATCGAAGGACCTATCTTATCAAGACGGCTTCTTATCGGCGTGGTTCTCTTTCTAGTGTGCACTGGCACGTTTGCCATAAAAGCAGATTGTTCTTTGCTAGCATAAGAGTGTGCAGTCCCTGCTGCAGTTAAGCAATTTTAAACTGATTATTTCATGCGTATTCTTGTTTCCGTAGTTTGTGATATCATTGCGGTTACTGGACATCTGGCTACAAAACTGTGAAGAAAAACCAAATTAATTCAACGCGTTAACAAGTTGATGATGTATAAACAAAGTTTCGCGTTTTGGTGTTGCACGCTTCTGTCTGCAGCTTCATCCTTACAGCTCCAACAAAATTCTACAAACAGTGACAACAAACAAAATGATAATTCGACGATGCAATACGAAGTTTACCTGAACACTATAAGAAATAAAGATGAAGATAAAGTAGAGTTGTTGCAGTCTAATTTGCGCAAAAATTCCTCAAATAACGGCAATGTACAATATAAATTCCATACCAATTCAAGTAGCTACAAAGATGATGATTCGATGCGACATGGATTTCGCATGCATTCCATAAAGAATTATAAGGAAAGCCATCAAATGCTGATGGAGCTTCGTGTGAACTCTACTAAGATTGATGACAAAAACAACTCTACATCAATTTATGAAAATATTATTAAAATCGAAGACAAGACCCAAACCGAAAATAAAAGCAATTCAGCATTATATAAATTCCGTGAAACCGCCGATAGAAATGACAATACAAATATTGTTCCATATGAAATGTGCGATAACATTATCTGCATCCCACTTTGTTGTCCTCTCGGTGAACGTTTGATTCGCGAAAAATGCATCGCTGGAAAGGGCGATTATCTTTTCCCAGATGTATATGGTTACACAATGGGCGATTTGCCACAGAATGAAGGTAAAAAATTGGACGAACTATTTCAACTGGTTATCCATGATCCATGCCAGGAAAGTGACCGTTTTGTACTTAATCCAGATGAGTATTTGGACGATGAGTATATGTTTCTTACCAATGGGTCTCTGTATCAACCGCATCACGGTGAATTTGTTCGATCGAGATCCTATTGTCTCGCCGTAGTACATCGGGATAAGTTTGAGGTGACCATATGTGTCGCGAACGCGACGACGGCATTAGATAATGCGGATCGTTTAATTGCTACACGTGTGGGCCTTATAGTGTCCCTGCCGTTTCTGTTGGCAACGTTCGTGGTGTACTCTATACTACCAGAGCTTTGGAACATGCACGGCTACACGCTACGCGGATACGTCGGATCGTTGTTCCTTGCGTACATATTCCTCGTGGTTCTCCAGCTATCTCAACAAGATGCCATAACATATTCTGTCTGCATTATTATGGGTACTACAGCATACCCAAATTATATAATAATTCAGTATATACATCTAACGACTTACCGGTCTATACTCATGTATTAATTATCCTTCCTCCCTTCTCTCTTTCTTTTTATCTCATTGTCAGTCTCTACCCTTCTCCCGCTCTCTGTACCTCTTTCCCTCATCCCTTTTTCTTCTTTTTCTCTTTCACTCTTTCATATACATATATGCATTTGCATATACATAATTCATATACATAATTTATTGAAATTTTAAAAATTAGTGGATAATTAACACTTAACAAAATTTAAATTTTGTGCATCTTAACATATAATGCATTTGAATTTATTTGGATAAAAATAGTTTTTGTCCCAACTTTTCGGAACTTTATATATATATATATATATATATATACTTTAAATATGATTTGATATAAGATTAATATATACAATCAATTATAATGAAAAATAAAATCTTTATTACACTATTTAAAAATTTATAAAATTAAAATAAGTTTCTATTATTTATATCTTTCGTTTAGGGAATATTTATATATAAGTATAAAGAAAATTTTTTTTATATGTTAATTTTTATATTGTGTTTTATATTGTAATTATTGATAATGAAAAAAACTTTGACATTTTAAATGATAAGATCAATTCTTTACAAAAAGACAGATAATTAAAAATAATTAAAATTTATTGAAGAATTATTACTGATATTAATAAAAAATTAAAAAATTCTTTTAATATATAGTTTTTATATAATAATAAATACAATAAAATAATAGTTTTACCTAAAATAACTTTTTTTTAAACACATGAAAAAGTAATTATTTTTCTCGTAGTTTTTTACATTAAATACTATTTCAACTTCTAAATTGTTCTATCATGTCACAATTGTACAAATTTGATAATCAAAGTTGCAAAAAAGATTATTTTAATATATTTGATTAGATATTGTACTTACTGTATATAATGTGTTATAGAAGTTTTGTTTAAAATTAAAGTTAAGTATATATTATTTAAAACTTCAAATCCTTAAAAGGAATTGTTGCGTCAGGTATAGTTAATAAGATTTTCATTGTTTAATGTATATAATCTATGTTAGGGAAAAGTTAAAATTTTTAGATCGTTAAATATAAAAGTTATGTAAAAAAATTGATATATTAAAATATATATAAATACATAAAATTTTATATCTAATATATAGCAATGTTGTATATTTATAGAATATTGTATAATAATAATATTGCATATTTATGTGCAATATAAATTTAAATATCAATAGGCTAGAAAAATTGATTAAAATAACAAGAATTGATAAAGTGTGAGGTTTGAATAGATTAAGATAAGAGCATTTTTTGTTAAGAGAAGAGGGAGAGATCACAAGAAAATTTACTAAAATAAAAATTTTAAATTTAGTGTAAAAAAAAAGACTACGAGAGATGGTTATTTTTTTCTATTTTTGTGTTTAATTATATCATCATTTACATTTGTTATAAACAATAATTGTTGTTTCACATTTTCGCATACAAGTTATTTTTAGTCAATAGAATTTTTAATAAAAGTTTGTTATAAAAATTTATATTTTTATATATAAGTATGTACTTATTACTAAACTTAACTAAAATATTTTTATCTATTTTTCAAAGTTTATTGTATTTTTTTAAACATTTTATTATACTTTTTAAAATATATACAGTAGCAATATAATCAAATGAGATTATATATTTTTTAAAAACAATTTTAAATATAATTTAAGAAAACATTAAGTATTTTATTGTCAATAAATATTTTTTTGAATAAACAATATTTTGATTACTAAATAATACAAATTTGAGTTTTAATAATTTAATACAAATTGTAAATTAATTAGAAAAAAACAATGCTATAGTAATTTTAAGTCAAAATATTATTTAATTTAATACGTAATTTATTAAATTTATATATTTTTGGCCATTTCTAATGCAGATAGATAATAATTTTGTTTCTTTCATTAGCGTAATAGGAATCACTAATCATATCACAGAATTTTAATGTATACATTTAACTGAATTACTATTTATTTGACTGTTTCAGCCTTTGTCATCTATTTCTCATTTTTGGCAAGCTTCTTCTGGTTAAATGTGATGTGCTTCGACATTTGGTGGACATTTGGGTAAGTTGCAGAATAAAAAAGAATTCTTATTTTTAAAGACTGCCATATATATGTGTACATAGAGTTTTGAATAGCGAATTAGAATATCTCGAGGCTAATTATTAGAATCACCCCATTTTTATTATAATTAATTATTTATATTTGATACATACACATATTTACGTAATTATAATCGAGTAGACATTAATTATGGTTTATTAAAGATAAAGCGTATCTCTCTCTCTCTCTCTCTCTCTCTCTCTCTCTCTCTCTCTCTCTTTCTAGGTCAAAATATGGGTTAATTGATTCGTCAAATATTTTCACAAACGCCACTTGATCCGAGCAGAGCTCATAACAGAGAAATTTGATAATTGATAAACACGAGGGAGGAAATTGATAGCGACAAGACGCGAATTAATATCCGGTACGTGACTGACGCGCGTATATGGCGCAAACACAACCGAGTTAATTTTGATCTCGTTCGCAGTCGGACGTCGGTTCAAGAAGCCATTCCGATCGGGCAATATTCGATGCTCGGAGGAAGTATCAATAGAATATATTCCCAAACACATCGATAAATACATGAACATGGAGTTTACTGCTCCAACTAATCTTATATATTTCAATGTGAAACCTTTCTAAATTATATGTATATGTATATATATATATATATATATATATATATATATATATATATATATAATGTTTATTTGATCCCCTTGAAATTATAAAGACGCGTTTTTGCAAATTTATAATATTGCTTTAAACTCTTTTCAACCTAACCTAATCTAATCTAACCTTATAGAAGATAAAAAATATATGTATAATTTTATATATTTCTATATAATTTTATATTGTTATATATGTATAAAAATTTTTTCCCGGGCAATAAGTTTATAAATATAAAAACATTAAAATATCGTAAAGGCCGGTTCGCCAAATAAAATCATAACTAAGAACGCGCGTATATGGCGCAAACACAACCGAGTTAATTTTGATCTCGTTCGCAGTCGGACGTCGGTTCAAGAAGCGTCGGTATAAGAGTCGCTGTACAAGCCATGAAATACATATTTTGCTTAGACATTGCTAAGATATTAAGGAACAATCTCATATTTGAGATATGAATTCCTCGGTACCTTTTACCCCCCTAAAGTGATGTAGACGAGAAAAATAGATCGACGAGAGAAATATAAAAATATATATTTATAAATAAACTTATAAATAAAAAATTTATAAATAAAAATGTGAATACATATATGTATCCCAAGTAGCAAACTGACGTTATTAGACGTTACTTTGACACGTTTAATAATCTCAAAATGACGTATACTTGCTACTTGGGATTTTTATATCTTTTTTATAATTTACATATTTTTTATAACCGTGTTTACATAAGCAGTCTTAAAAATTATTATCTAGAAAATTATCTAGATGAATCGCCATATAATTTATCTTTTATCTAGATATATTTAAAACAAAATCATCTTGTTTATTTTATCTAAAATAAATTTACACATTTTTATCTCATCTTTATCTAGCTAATTTTAAAATCACCTAACAATAAGCACAATCACACTGCATATAATATAATCCATGTGTTTTCGATTGCGCTTACGATGTAAACCCTTTTTTCGCATTTGTTTTCACTTTTATTTTTTCTATTTTTATTTAGACAGGGTAGTACCACGAAGTAATTTTTTATCTTTTGCGTGTCAATGAAATCCCATGACGTGGTAATGTCGTGTCACTATTTGCTATTTCCGTATTGTGCGGATGATCTGTTGTCGCCAAGCCTACAGTCGTCACGTTGTTACGAGGGTGTGACAACTATCTGTGTGCGTGTACACATCGTGTATGTTCTTTTGTAATCAATTAGAGAAAATCAATTATCAGAAAAAGAACGTCACGACAGGGTCGTCCTCAGATTAATTTCCTTCGTTATTGCAAGCATGTATATAGTGATGTTATGTTCTTCCATACAATTTAACACATATAATATAATACATATATACATATGTTAATTGTAAGTTTTCATTATAATTTCGTAACCTTCTTACATAATACCGTTTACACCCACTTCAACTAGCACAACACACGTGTACACACTCATATAAGCACATTGCTATTTTAAGGCTGTTAGTCCTTTATTGACGTCATACTGAATTATGACATCAGAAGCAAGAAATGATAAATGTTTCATTCTCTTGCGAAATATATTGAAATAAATTAATTTTTTTAAATATGATTACTTGCGTTTGTGATAATACACTTTAATAAAATATGCCAAAAATTCTTTCATTTTTGAAAAACTCGCTTTTGACATAATTCAATATAGTTGCAGTGAGTGTATGAGAGCCCTAAACAATAAGAAAAAATTATAGCTAGAGAGTTTTACAGTTTTGAGATGCACATCATATAATAGCAATAAAAAAATTAACAATGAATTTTGTAATAGCTAAAAGTGTGAAGGAAATTTAAAGGTCAGTTTGATTTTATTTTTTTTACATAAAAATTACATTTTTAAATAAAATTATATTATTAGAATTTTATTACGGCAAATTTTGAGAAATAAAATATTAGAATATATATATGTATTCCAAAATTCATAATTCCAGAGATATTCAACTTTTAAGCAGTTGTGACGTTTATCTCGTAGTTGTAGATTTAGCTAATAAAATTAATACAAAAACAGAAAAGAAATATAAAGTTTACATTAAATTACTAATAAATAAATAATACTGCTAACTAATAATAAATATTAGTTTAGTTAATAAAAATTTGCTAATTTATTATTGATTTTTACTTTAATGTAAAGGAAATTAAAATTATTTGATAGGGAGTAAGTTGTTAAATTCAAATTTTCCCTTTTAGTAATAATATTTTCCTTTTGTAATAACATTTTCCAAGATAAATAATATTTATCATTTTCTATACTTAAAATTATAGAAAAAATTACTGCTATAGTTTATATTAAAACTCCAAATTTATCTGTTATATTGGAGTTTATAATATTTTTTTATGAGAACTTAGAAAAACTATAGAGAGTTCATAACTTACATTTTCCATTTGTAATGATTTCTCGAAAGCCATTTCTTTTCGTTATTTATAATCTTAATTATTAAACATAACAGTGCTTAAATATAACGGAATAAATTGTTATTGATGATTTATATAGCAAGAAAAAAAATGAAATAAATCATAAATTTCACAACATAAAATCATCTAACATTAACTACGATTATTTTAACATATTTCTTAATATAATTTTTTATTACAATTTTTTTATTTACATTACAGTAGAAATTAATTTTTGCAAATTTTTCTAATATTTTCTATTAATGTAAAAATAAATTACAAATTTTTTATAAAAAAAAATATTAATGCAAATGAAAATATAAAGCTATTGAAAAATATTTTTGCAACATCCATATTTATCGATTAGTTTTTAAACAAAAAAATTGTAAAAAAATCCTTCTTATCTAACCACAATTTCCTTTACTGTTACATTATAATAAATCCTACTTATCTTGCTGTACTAATTTAGCTATATGTAAAATTGAAACTGTGTTTTTATAGAGGATTCCGTTCGTTACAAGGAAGCATGAAGCAGCGAGACAGAAAGAAGTTTATAATATATTCGATTTATGCGTGGGGAAGCGCCTCCATTCTCACTATAATCTGCGCCATCATGAATTTTGTTGATAGCGTACCAAAGGACTTTATTCGACCGGAATTCGGTGACGTGGGATGTTGGTTCACTAGTAAGTGGTTGTCACTAATTATGGAACTCACATAATTAATTCTATTAACATTGATATACTTCATTAAAATCATATGATTAAATTGTACTACGAGGGTGGTTCTGACCTTAACATGAAGACGACAGCACTCATCAATAAAAGTTAGGGAATGTGTTTGCGCATCTTTTGAAAAATACTCACCAAAATTTCAGCCATTTTGGACGCGCAGTTGTTGTTTGACAATCGTTTGAGTGAGTCGATGTGAGTGTTTTTATAAAAATGGAAAAAATCGAATATCGAGCTGTCATTAAATATTTTTTGGCGAAAATCCACGAATTACGGTTTGAACTGCTTGACCACCCTCCTTACTCATCAGATCTAGCCCCAGGCGACGTTTTTTGTACCCTAAGCTAAAAGTTGCGCTCAGAGAACAAAGATTTTCGTCAAATGAGGAGGCCATTACCTTCGTAAACAATTATTTTGCCGAGTACTATTTGGTCGGATTAAAGAGATAAAAGCATCGCTGGGAGAAGTGTGTAGACTTACAAAGAGACTATGTAGAAAAATAAAAATAAATTTAAAGAAAAAGTGTCTTATATCTTTGTTAGGTCGGAAATTTTTCAGACCACCCTCGTATATAATTTACAGTCAAAAATTATTTTCTTATTTTATACTTCATTAAATCATATGATTAAATTGTACTATATAGTTTACAGTCAAAAATTATTTTCTTATAATCCTTCTAGACCAAAGTAGCAAAGTGACGTCAGAAGACGTCATTATGACGTCTATTTTTAGTCATTTTTTATCTATGACGTCAGTGACTAATAATGGTTTATAGGACATCATTTTTTAGACCAAATAAAGACGTTATTTTGAAGACGTCTTAAGACATCCTAATTTAGCTCCATCATTTATCGCTATGTGACGCACGATGTCTTTATCTCGCATTTAAGTTTTAGTCAAAGAATTATATAAAGCTGACAGAAAGAGATTGTTAACAGTAAAGTATCATAAGTATATTCTTCTAATGTGAAGTGTACTTGGCAACAGAAGAATGATTTTTTAACAAATAAATTTACGGAAATGTGCGTAAATTTATTTATTAAGGGGTAATGCCACTCTAGCGCCCGAAAAAACAGTCTAATTTTGACAATTTTTTGAAAATATATAGTAAATGGAATACAAAATCTGTTTAAAGGCTCTTATTATACATACTTTGAAGTATATACAAATTTTTTTCAATTTTTTTTACAAAATATGGGGGCGCTAAAATTCAATAAAGAAAGTCTCTTCTCACGAATAGTGTTCCGCGGGCGGAAAGATTTCTTCTTCAATTTTTGTTCTAAAATAAAAGACCAAACATATATTTTTCTGTTTTATATAAGATTAACTTAAGAAGTACGTACAGATTTTAAATTTCGTTGTAAACTTCTTTTATTATAAACAATTTTTCACGTATAATTTGTTACTTATAAAAATCCAACTTTTTGTTCAAACGTGCATCATTTTTACAAAAAAAAACGGTATTTTTAATTTCCGTACGTACTTCCTAACTTAATCTTATGTAAAACTGAAAAGTGTTTTGTCTTTTATTTTAGTTCAAAAATTGCAGAAGAAATTTTTCCGACCGCGGAAATACTATCCGTAAGAAGAGGCTTTCTTTGCTGAATTCTGGCGCCGCCATTTTATAAAAAAAAGTTGAAAAAAATTGTGAATATATTTTAAAGTATATATAATAAAAGCCTTAAACCGATTTTGTATTCTATTCACTATACAGGGGGAAAGGTACATATTTCAAGAGATTGTAGTATGGACCATTTTGAATAAAAAAGTTCATATTAACAGGCAGTGTGAAACTAGCATCTCAATTGTTAGCATCTCACAAATTCACTACAAATTTACTTGCATCCGACATAGTTCTAGGAGTTCTAATAAGTTTCAACAATAGTTCAATTGATTTGCATATAAAATTGCATTCTAAAGAAATGAGATGCTAACTTCTCGTACGGCTTTTCAGCATCTCATCGAATTTCGAATCTGTTATCATAAGGAAGCAATATTTTGACGAGTTCAACATTCTGGACATGAGTTCTCAAGAGTTCAGACGAAAAATACTATAATAAAAAAAATTTTAATAAAATAAAATAAAATTTTTAAAAAAATAATACATCATCGGTAGTGCCTTGAACTCTTTAGAAACTGATTTAATGCGTTAAGAATTGCAAGAAAAATATTTTACTACAACTAAAACTCTCGAATGTCGACCGGCATCTCACTTTTATCTGACTTAAAATGCATTTAAATGCATTTTCGGGCAGTAAATATTTTTTCAAAAATAATACAACATCGGTACTATCTTGAACTCTTTAAAAACTTTTTTAATGCGTTAAGAATTGTACGAAAAATATTCTACTACGACTAGAACTCTTGAATGTTGACCAGCATCTCACTTTTATCAGTCAAAAAGCATTTCAAGACACAAAAATGAGATGCTGATCGATATTTCAAAGTTCTAGTCATAATGAAATATTTGCCGTGCAGTTTTGAACATACTAAACAAGTTTCTAAAGATTAAGAGTTTAACAAGGCTCTGTAATATAAATATAAATTTAAAGATATAAAACAGGCAATAAGAGCCAACTCGCGGATGACAGTGCGTTATCCTAACGAAACTAAATTTTTCGTTAGGATTAAGTATCTGTGCACAAGGCACCAAATTTTACTTGGTCACGACCAAGATTTAAAATATGAAATAATCTCATATTTGAGATTTAATTTCAATAACCCTTTCACCCTCCCTACGGAAATAAGTAAATGCAACGACTTTCGGATCTATATTTTTCTCTTGCATTTACTTATTTCCGTAGGGGGGTGAAAGGGTTATTGAAATTAAATCTCAAATATGAGATTATTTCATATTTTAAATCTTGGCCGTGAGCAAGTAAAATTTCGTGCCTTGTGCACAGATACTTAATCCTAACGAAAAATTTAGTTTCGTTAGGATAACGCACTGTCATCCGCGAGTTGGCTCTTATTGCCTGTCTTATATCTTTAAATTTATATTTATATTACAGAGCCTTGTTAAACTCTTAAAATTTATACACGCTGGCTTAAACGCGTTTGTTTATCAACATTATTACATATAACAGAGAAAAGTATAGAATCGAAAGGATCTGAATAGCTCAGTTGGAAGAGCAGTCGCCCGGCAAGCGAAAGGTCTCGGGTTCGATTCCCGATTCAGCGACTTTCGGATCTATATTTTTCTCTTGCATTTACTTATTTCCGTAGGGGGGTGAAAGGGTTATTGAAATTAAATCTCAATAATGAGATTATTTCATATTTTAAACCTTGGCCGTGACCAAGTAAAATGTGGTGCCTGGTCACAGATACTTAATCCTAACGAAAAATTTAGTTTCGTTAGGATAACGCACTGTCATCCGCGAGTTGGCTCTTATTGCCTGTCTTATATCTTTAAATTTAAGTTTCTAAAGAGTTCAAGACAGTACCGATGTTGTTACAGCCGTTTGAATGTTAAACATCAACGAAATCTGCCACAAATGAACAAGAGTATAAAAAATGACTTATTTCTGCAAAAAACTTACAATAATTATAATGAAGACCACATGAAGAACTTACTGATAAAAATACAAAAACTTATTGGTGCTTTTATTGATGCAAAATATATGTTATTTATGTTTGTACGGTTTTTGCATCAATAAAAGCACTAATAAGTTTTCGTATTTTCATTAGTAAGTTCTTTATGTGGTCTTTATTAATTATTGTAAGTTTTTTGCAGAAATAAGTCATTTTTTATACTCTTGTTCATTTGTTTTGGCAGATTTCGTTGATGTTTAACATTCAAACGGTTGTAACTCCACACCTATTGAAAATTGGACACATGTTAATATGAAGTTTTTTACTCAAAATCGTCCATACTACAACCTTCTGAAATATGTATTTTTCTTCCTAAAACACTCTATATATTTTCAAAAAATTATCAAAATTAGACTGTTTTTTTCGGGCGCTAGAGTGGCATTACCCCTTGAAGCATTCTTCTGTTGTCAAATATATTTTAAATTTTTATATTTTATATTATCAAATTGTATTTATATTTGTTGAGTGAGATTTCTTACTGTGTTATAACTGATACTATATATCTATATTAATTGTTAAAATTGTAAAAATTTCATCAATTTAAGTCATATTCGTCATATTATGCCGTCAATAAGACGCCAGAAAAAGACGTCTCATGGATGTGACATATTGACGTCATTTTCGGATCTTATGAGATCAAATTAGTCTAATTGGTCCTTTTGTGACTAAAATTTACCGTCATTATGATGTCACTTTATTGCTATTTGGGGAGTATTAGGTGCTAAAAACGATATCATAAACCAAATTTCATTAGTACGTCAGATTTCCAAAATAATTGAAGTTTATTTTGTACAAATAACATGTAAAAATAGCTTTTTTGCGATATTTGAGATTTTTTTAATAAAAAAGGTTAATGTTATCTGAAAAATCTGATTACATATATGTCTCAAAAATATTTATAAAATATTTATAGAATATTTATAATAATTATTTTTATAAATATTTATCATAAATATTTTATAAATGTTTTTGGAGTCTTAAATTCAATAGATCATAAATATTTATCATAAATATCAGAAAATATTTACGAAAAATATGGTAAAGATTATAAATATAAAAAAGGTAAGTAACAGTAAGAGTTCCGATAATAAATATGAAGTGCGGTAAACAGAGCCAATTAAGAGCCAGGCGTGGTTATTAATACGCATAACACATAATGATAAATTGAATCGTTTATTGTACGTTTCATAAGTAAACATAATAGATAAAAAACAAAGTTTATACAAACGTGTCGCAAAGCGGGTGTCATAATCGTTATAAACATTACGCGACGGATTTTTTAACAAAACAGGTCATTACATTATTATAACACGTCCTACTTATAATTTTCGAGAAAAATAAAAAAACTAACAAAGTAAAATAAACAACCTAATATAGATACATTAAAACACATTTTGTTATAACATAAAAAAAAATATATTGAAACTAGAAATAGTTATAATTTCAGTAGATTCTCGACTATATTAAAAAACACATGGTGTAGCGTCTTCGTGTCGCTCTGTAGATTAAGGCTGTTGCGCTGCCGTTTTATGAAGATCATCTCAGATCAAGCGTTTACCGTGGACGCACTCCTCATTCAAAATTTCCACTTCATCCCATTCGAACTCGTGGTTTAATAGCCTGTGGTCCGTGATTACCAAATGTTGACCGGTATTCCTAGTGATGTGATAGCGATATTCAACAATGCGCGTCTTTAATAATCTACGCGTTTGTCCCACATATGTCGCAATCATTGCAAGAAATCCTGTACACGACGTTGTTACGCATTTCGTTGTGTAAACGGTCCTTCAGTATAGGAATGAACTTTGCCAATTTATTCAAGCCGGAATATGACACCATAGCTTGTATATCCCGGACCACAGGTACAAATTACTCCGAAATCGTCGGGACGTACGGCACATTAAAAAAGAACCTCTTTTGAATGTTATTAGCACTAGTCAATGCACCAGTCTCAATATTATTGGAAAAAATACGTCTCTTAATGCGTTCCGATAACACAGAGAAAATAAACTGTAACGGATATCCGTTTTTTAATAGAGTATTAATAGAGTATTAATCACGAATTTAAAGTTTTTTTGGTGGTAAGACGGATGTGATAGTCGGAAAGCTCTGTCCACGAGGTTAATGACCGTGCCTTTTTATGGCAGAGAGGATGTCGAGACTCGAAGTTTAAGAATCTGCCTAAATATGTAGATTTTTGATACCAATCGAATCGGAGATTACAGTTCACCAACATGATGGCGACATCGAGAAAATTTATCCTATTGTTCTCTCCCATTTCCATAGTAAATTGCAATCTGGGGTGGAAAGAATTGAAAATTTGCAGAATGACGTCCAGCTTAGAGCGTGGAACAGCCAACAACACATCGTCCACATATCTATAGTAAAATGGTAGAGAGAATGACAGAGTCTCGACAGTTCTCATCTCAAGGTCATGTAGGGTAATGTCCGCAATGATCGGAAAGAGCGGAGAGCCCATAGGTGTGTCAAACGTTTGACGGTAAATCACGTTTTCAAATTTAAAAAAGGTCGAGTTGAGAACAAACTTAATTGCAATTAAAAATTCATTATAGGGAATACTGCAATTTTTCTCGATAAATATCCATCTTCTCTTAACACTCTCTAACGCTAAGTCCATCGGTATATTGGTAAACAGCGATACGACGTCCAACGGAATCAATACACAATCGGTAGGAATACTCTTGCATCTTAGTTGTTCAACCAACTGAAAACTATTATTAACATGGCTCTCTGGTCGTGGAATAGAGTCATTTATTAAATCGTGTAAAAACAAAGCTAAATTATATAATGGCGTGTTAATCGACGAAACGATAATTCTTAGTGGATATCCGGTTTTGTGGATTTTTGGCAGACCATAAGCTTGTGCAAGAACACCGTCAGTGCAATTGAGATTCCTATACCTCGCTTCAGAAATATATTCACGCTTTTTCCATCTCGTGAGCAAATCGTGTAGACTTCTCATTACTTTTTTGATCGGATTTTTTTAATTTTAATATAAGTATTATTGTCAGAAAGAAGCACATTCATTTTCTGAACATAATCACTCCTATTCAATGCTACCGTAATATTACCCTTATCAGCTCGTGTAAAAGTCAAGTCAGGATGGTCTTTTAAGAAGTGATGCGTCAACGTTGCGGCTTTGATCAGTTCGTTGTCTATATGTGATTTCTTAAACAAATAATTACCCGAATTATTTATGATGGACATTATACAATTCCGAACAGTAACTCGAGAATAATCAGGAAGTCTGTCTATATTATAATCTGTTGATTTAATAAACTTAAAAATAATTTTTTGTTTATTACTACTCGGAAGGCAGAATTTTTCACCGAGTTGCACAAGCCCTTGTACTTCTGCCGGCACTTGAGAATCCGACAAATTAACAAACCAACCTTCACGTAAATCTAGTGGTTAGGGTTATCTGTAAAATCATGCGGATTTATAGTGATCTCTATGGAGTTAACATTTTTAGTAGGAGAAAAGAGGATAAGGATAAATTCGTCCAAATTTGTCGAGTGTTTTGGTCAGATGTCGTTATTGAGGAGAATCTGCAGTAATATTTAACCGTTTTAATATTATTAATAATATTTCTATTATGTTTGTGAAGAAGCCACTGGAATTTCTTTTCTAATCTATTACGTTCATTCACAAAATGGCAGTAGAGAGATCTATTTTGTGTATGAAAAAAATTATCACATAGCATAATAGGTAATGCAACCGTAATCGACCGTATTAGTTTGTAATTAAGAGTACGTAAATGTCTAATGTGTTTGTGTGTGTCATATATCTCGTTACGTGTCATATTCATCACAAATCTACGTATTATAATGTCAAATTTTTTACATTATAATACGTATTTTTTACGTTATAATACGAGTGCTTAGTCTTAATAATATAGTTCGTCGAACACCGTAATAAGATACTGATATTTCGGATAGTGTTATGTACCTGCGATAACTTGCTTGCTATTGTTTTATTTAAGTATGTATAAATCTTTACACGCTTTATGTACTATAAAATTCGAAATTTCATATTGTATTAATTTCTTAGATGCTGAAGATGGTCTGAACTAGGATCGAAACGTACGAATAAACGATTCAATTTATCATTATGTGTTATGCGTATTAAGAACCACGCTCTTAATTGGCCCTGTTTACCGCACTTCATATTTATTATAAATATGTTAAATTATTATGATACAGTTTTTTTTTTAATTTATATTTTTTTGAATAAATACTCAGTAAGAAATCATGAGTTAAAAAGACATACAATCAACCACTTTTTTAATCAAAACAATGGGTTAATATAGTCTAATATAAAATTTGGTCGATTGTTGATGTTTTGTGTTTTTCAAACTCTATTAGCCATTTATAAAAAGTTAAAAATGTTTATAAGACATATAACTTATTAGACATTTATTTTAAAATAAAATATAAAATTATAATAAACACTGAATATACTTAGGCAACAGAGTAGTTTAACAAATAAATTTACGTACACATCAATATATACGTAAATTTATTTGTTAAAAAACATTCTGTTGCAGAATGTAGTTCAAAAAGAGAATTAATTTTATAACATTTTTAATTTTATAAATTTCCGTTTTGGCCAGCCTTATATAATTCTTACGATGAAAATCAAATACGAGAAAGAAACGTCACATAGCGGTAAATGAAAGAACTAACAATTTAGTTAAAAAATATTTACAAAATAATTACTATAAATATTTATCTTTATATATCATAAATATTAATGAAATATTTAATATATGTTTTAATATGTTAAATAAAGGTTTTCATAAAAGATTTTCAAAATATTTATATAATATTTGAAAAAAATATATATTCATAAATATTTATATAAATTTTTATCATAAATATAGTATGCTGTCTGAGACACATAAATGTATTGTTTGTAAAATGCATTTCTTTTTATTTTAATATCTTACTTTTTAGTCATGTCAAAAGGGATTTAAATACAGAATTTTGTTGCAAATATTTCGCCTATAGTGATGAAGTCATATAATTATATTCATAATTTGTAGTTTTCCTTATGGAAATTTAATACTGTAATCACTGAAAGTTCATTAATTTAATTGCTAGAAATTACTATATATCAGCCAATTCAGTACTCAAAATAAGTGATTAATTATACTTATTAGTAATAAATTTCCATACGGATTATGAGACTATAGATACTCATACACAGTGTAACTTATATCTTGATAGAGTTCATTAAATATATATTTACATGTATATAGGGTGTCTTATTTTAATTGCTCATCTTGAATTTTTCGAAACAATTGCATTTTTGAAAAAAATATTCCAAACAAAAGTTGTATGGGCTAAAAGGAAACAAATAATTGTAAAATTAATTTTGAAAAAAAATATCCAAAAAAAAATTTTTTTTCCAGGAGCATCTCCATGTAAGAAGTAGTTCCTAGCTTTAATTTTTCTTTCCATTTTTGGCATATTAAACTTCAATTATTTTGAAAACTTGACGTACTGGTGAAAATTTATAAAAAACCTTGATTGGTTTAAAATAATAAAACATATAATTTTTTGTAAAGTAGTGTTATCTTTGTTAAAATAAAAAATATATTTGAGATTATTACAAAAGTGTCGCCTCCTAATATTTTCTATTATTGTGAAAAAAAATAAATTTTTTATAAAAAATATTTATGCAGTAAAAATATACCTATAGCTATTGAAATATGTTTTTATACAACATGTGCCATGTTTATAGATTAGTTATTAAACAAAAAAGTTATATTATGGAATTATTTAGGTTAAAGAAAGTCTGATTGTATTGATTCTAAAGTCTCTTGTAAAAATTAAAAACGTTTATAAAAGTTTTACACATTTATAAAAAATATGTAAAACTGCACAAAAGTTACATCTCACCGATTTTATTGCCAAATATATTTTGTTTCACTCTAACTCACTGCACCAATATGCACTAGTTTAGCAGCAACGGTGCAGCAACAAAGAACAAACCCTTATTTAACAATAAGTGGCGATAAAATCGGTGAAATGTAACCTTTTATGCATGTTTATAAATAATTATATATAATGTAATTATATACGATATAATATAATATTATAAATTTATTCTTGCTTTATAGCGAACGCAGCAAAGGCGTTGTACTTTTACGGACCTATGGGTATCACTGTTATCTGCAATATTTGTTTATTCATCTCTACGGCATTAAAGATCGTGCGCCATAAAAAAGACACAGCTCATCATCTAAGAGGTTCGGAGAGTCAGCGTCACGATGATAATAAACAATGGTTTGTATTAAATATTTCCTTTTTGTTATTACCGATAATTTGTCCTGATAACGAAATATATATATTTCAATATATCTGTTTGCAAATACGGATAATGTATAATGTCAATCGGTTCTCGTTCCTAAGATGATTATTTTTAGACGGCAATTTTCCCATGCGGAGGTTTGCTTTGATAATTGCGAAATCTTTTATAAAAACAAACACATCGCCGCCGTTTCGATAGCGTGAACGGAATTTCTTGAGAGCATCTGCGGATTCTCCAAAAGATGACAAACGATAACACTAAAACGGATAAAATAAAACGTATAAATTTATAATGAATTCGTATTTTGTAAAAACAGAAATCATATTTCTTAAGGTTTCTCTGTCTCTTCGTTAGACCATACTGATATAATATATGATATGAGAACCCAGCCAAAAATGAATGATCAAATTGATGTCAAATCGATATCGATTTGACATCGATTTATCTAATCGACGTTGATTCAACGATGAATCGACGTCGATTCGATATCATTTCTGGCTGGAAAGTGAGAAATCATATGATTTCCATGCAGCACACAAACGTTGAATCAACATCTCGAAAACGTTACCCTGCAATATTACAATATTGTATAAATATTATAAAATGTAGATTCAATATTAAGAATATGTTGCAGAAATGTCTAATGTTTGCTGAATTGCAATGTTGTGTAGACGTTGTTTCAATATTGTAGCAATATAAAAGAATCAATATAGAAAACGCAACATAGATTCAATGTTGTAGCAATAACGTTGTTTCAATATTGTAGCAATATAAAAGAATCAATGTAAAAGATGCAACATACATTCAACGTTGCAAAAATATTAATATTTCAATATTCAACATTGCAACGTATCAACAACGTTATTTTAACTTTTTGTGCTATATGGGATTTTTCTTGCAAATTACATACCGATATAAATAAGTTTTTTTGAATACAATTACTTATGTTAATAATAATTAGTAAAATACTCTTTTTTGATTATGTAATTTGCAACTAGCAGCTACGTATTTTTTTAAAAGCCTTTGTTTTCTTTACAATCGATTTCTCTCAATTATTTTGTGCATAAAAGTATTAAGGTGAGATCATCAGAAAATAAATACTTTGACGAGATATTTTATATAAGATTATGTCAAATTAAAATATAAAATATCTCATAAAGTATTCACTTTTTGACCATATACTATAACCATAACTTTTTATACAGAATATTGCGAGGAATCGATTTATATAAAAAAATTTGGTGGTTCTATTTAAAAAATTTAAGATAATGTTATTCTGACCTTAACAATGACATTTAAAGTTAAAGTAATAAGATCCATAAATAGATATTTTTAAACCCTACAATTTTCATTTGAAATATTTTTTCTAAAATGCATTGTTTACAAGATATTTGACTGTAAGCACACACAATGATGATTACTACAATGTATATAAATCGTCATAAGCGTAAAAGATACAAAAACAAATACATATATTCACTTGCAGGTTCAATCTATATTTGAAGCTGTTTATCGTGATGGGCATAAATTGGTCTATGGAAATAGTGTCGTGGTTGTTCAAGGATGCAGCACCAGAATACATCTGGTATCTTACCGATCTGACAAATACTCTGCAAGGACTCATTATTTTCATCATTTTTGTGTGGAAGGAGAAGATCAAGCGACTGTTGCTGAAACGATTTGGTTGTCAGACTCGCGGTCCATTTTCTAGAAATTCGACACGAAGCGGTTACCTTAGCTCGGCTTCGCGTACCTGTACCACTACGTCAGGAGTGATTCCCCTGCAGGAAAAGATTAGTCCTTACGTGCAAGGGAACTGTCGTGGTACGAAGAATTCATCTGACGAAGCTGATCCTTAGATCGGGATTCATAATCAGTTCTAATATTTAAGATAGTTTTAAGTACAATCTTAAGATGTCACTAACCACAGAGTCGTATCAACATCTTAAGAGAATGCTGAATAAGATTTGTTTTATCGATAAATCTTTATTGGCTATACAGAATGAAAAATCTTTTACTATAAAATTAAAGTATCCATAATAACAAATCTGGTCTATTATATGTATATGTATATAAAAAGAAACCAAGAAAGTTAAATAATTACAATTTTCTTATCGGTTAAGTTAGATTTACCCAATGCAAGAATCGATAAATTTTGTAAACAATATAATTATTTAGCTTTCTTGTTTTTTTATATGTAGTAGCCCAGATTTGTTATTATAAATACTTTAATTCTAGTAAAGAATTTTTCATTCTGTATAGCCAAGAAAGAGATAAATAAAAATAATATTTGTCGATAAAATAGATCTAGTCAGCATCCCCTTAAACGCGTCTGATCTTAAATACGTCTGTTTTATCGATAAAACGATCATTTTTTTGCTCGTTTTCCTTTTTATTGGTTTAATAGAATAATAAACATTTTTCACGTATTACACACACGCGCACGCGCGCGCGCGTACACACACACGCACATGCGCACACGTGTGTGTGTGTGTGTGTGTGTGTGTGTGTGTGTGTGTGTATACAGGGTGTCCCAAAAAGATCGGAACACTGAAAAATCTCGAAAAATATACGGTTTGCAGAAAAAAGTTTTAGACAAAAGTTGTAGGGTTTAAAAAATTTATTTATTGATCTTATGAGTTTGACCTTGGGTGGCGTTACGATGGTTAGAATAAGGTCACTTTGAATTTCTTAAATGGAACCCTATATTTCTTATTAGATATTCTTGTAGCTTACTTCGAGAACTTTTCAAAACACTATAATTAAGTTATTTTTTATAAGATACTTTCCGAATTACAAAACTTGAAATTTACAGTTCTCAAAGGCTTGCTGTGATTACAATTCTAACAAATTTTAAAAATGAAGACGAATGGAAGAAAGAGTCCGTATGTAAGGATGTTGAAGAATACGAAAAAACCTTATTATTAAATAATTCTTTAACTTTCGCGATAGACATTATACAAAATATTGTATGTGACATGTGCGGAAGACAACGAATATACATCGCGCGTAAAGTTGCCACATTCGCCTCAGCTTATGATGCATTCACACACGTAATCATGTGGTTACAGCACTCGCCTTCAGCTCGTGCTGCAAATCACGACTCGTACTCGTGTGATTGCATCATAAAATTTCGGCTTATGCAGCAACTTCACGCGCGACATAATTCGTTCTTTTTCACACTTGTCACATAAGATACTAACTCTATTCAACCAATAAAAAAAAAGCATGTAGAAAATTGTTTTATTATTTTATCGATAAAACAGACGTGTGTTTAGGATTACTTTGATATTATTTAAGACGGTCTTGAAATGAGAAGGAACTATGAATACCAGCCTTAATGCCAAAAAAAGTTTGATCGTAAATCAGGGATCAATGGTTAACCAGCAGTTAACTGTGCCATAATTTAATTCTCCAATCGAAGATTAATTTTACATTATTATTGCATTGATCTCTATTTATTTAAAACATGTTTGTTTCTCTCCCTTTTTCTCTCTATTTGCTTATTTTTATTATCGAAAAGTATACCTAAATCTTTCTTTAATCTTCTTTTTACGGTTCAATAAATATTTTGTTTTTAAATTTTTATAGCATATACATATATATATATATATATATATATATATATATATATATTAGCATTGTGCAACATTATAATCAATTATTTTTATCATTTATAATGTTTTGTAAAATTCATAAGATTTATATGCAACTATCAATTACTAAATTATTATTGCAGCAGATAAATATAAACTATCATTGTTATATTAAGGATTGTAATAAAAAGCTCGTGCGCACACGCATAAGTCACATACTTTTTGTAATTTTAATGTTTAAATGTTAGTTAATAAAAATATAATTTTGTGAATAATTTTTTAAATCTAATGTTATGATGCACAAATATCTAAACATGATGCGCATACTTCGAGTATGTAAAAATTAGTTTATCTATGTACAATTTTTTATAATTTATGTCAAGCAGAAAGTATTTGATGACTTTGAGACATAATAATTTTTTTAAATAAAACCGTCGATACATTGACTTGATTTGAAAGTAACAATAGGGCACATAATACTTACAATCAGTAGAATATTAAATTACTCTTTATTTATTCGTTTGTAATAAAGTAAAAGCTTATTGTATATTACGTATTATGGTGTTATATATATCGACTGCCATATATAGATATATAATATAATAAATTTTGCTTCAATATATACAAATATTATTGTATATATATTTTAAACGATGTTTGATAATATCGTTTTGATAAAAACATAGCGAGCAACAATTTTATTAAATTTAGCTTTAAATATACATTATACAATCACTTTCTTTAATGCATATTTTTTATATATTCATTTTTTAAAATATTTATTTTGTATTAATATTTGTCTTTATTTCTATTGTATGTTTAATGTTAATTCAATTTTAAAATACCAAATATATACTTATAATAAATGTATAAAATACGTATGTATTTTAAATATATATTTATATAGATAAACAAAATAATTTCTATATGTCATTTTTTTGTCGCAATAATATTTATTATATGAATAATATTTATTATATGAATTAATTATATAATATTTATTATATAAATGTCAATAATCTATATATATTAAATCAAATTATCTTCTTAAACATTCGATAGTATTACAATATATGGTCCCTCATTAATTTATTTTATTGGCGCTTTTTATTTTTCTGATATTACTAAAGTGGTCATAATAAATTGACGAGGAATTATAATATTAAAAATCCTTGCGCTTGAACGTTATTAAGCACATTAATATTTAATTCTAAAATTTTATTTATATATTAAAATAATAGTAAAATAAAATAGATTTTATCTATATATAAAATTATATATAAAGTTTTCCAAAATGATACTTAGGTCCTTGAATAAGTTCTCGCTGTTTCTTAAAAGATGGCGTAGCGGCACTCTGTGCATGGAATTTCGTACGGAAACGCATCAGCTAAGTAGTACTATATGTAACCTCAAATTCTAGTAGATACAGTTTACCACAGTGTCAACCACGTGTTTAATTACCTATTGCGAAAATGTCTACTTTTGTGCCAAATAAAGTGTTTTTGCGGGGAATTTTATTGCACTGCTTTATTCAAAAGAAATCTGCAGCTGAAGCACACAGAATTCTTGTTGAAACATATGGTGACAATGCTCTGTCGAATACGACATGCAGAGACTGGTTTAGGCGCTTTAAAAATAATGACTTTGACCTTGAAGATAAAGAACGTTCTGGAGCACCGACAAAGTTTGAAGACGAAGAATTGAAGGCATTGCTTGATCAAGATCCATATTAGACGCTAGTAGAGCTCGGGAAAACATTGCAAGTAGATGCGTCAACAGTTTCAAAACGTTTAAAAGCGTTAGGAATGATCCAAAAGCAAGGACATTGGGTGCCGTATGAGTTGAAGCCGAGAGACGTTGAACGACGTTTTCTCATGTGTGAATTGCTGCTTCAACGGCATAAAAGAAAAGGTTTTATGCGCCGTATCATCACTGGAGATGAAAAGTGGATTTACTACGAAAATCCAAAGCGTAAAAAATCGTGGGGTACGCCCGGTCACGCATCAACATCGTTCCCAAAACCAAATATCCACGGTTCCAAGATTCTACTCTGCATTTGGTGGGATCAGCAGGGCGTAATTTATTATGAGCTGCTTAAACCTAATGAAACTATCACGGGAGCTCGCTATCGACTTCAGATGATGCGTTTGAGTCGAGCTCTAAAAGAAAAGCGGCCACTATACGGGCAGAGACACGACAAAGTGATTTTGTTACATGACAATGCTCGGCCACATGTGGCAAAACCAGTCAAAACTTACCTGGAAACGCTTCAATGGGAAGTTCTACCTCACCTGCCGTATTCACCGGACATAGCCCCCTCGGATTACCACTTGTTTCGGTCGATGGCGCATGGTTTGAGCGAGCAGCGCTTCCATTCTTTCGAAGAAACCGAAAAATGGGTCGATTCATGGATTGCGTCAAAAGATGAATCGTTTTTTCGACGGGGGATTCAATTACTGCCAGAAAGATGGGAGAAAGTGGTCTCTAATGATGGACAATACTTTGAGTAAAGTTATTGTAAGCCTTATATTTTAAATAAATGTTTTTTTTTAACAAAAAAAACAGCGAGAACTTATTCAAGGTCCTATTTTAGTAATCATATATTACAAAACAATAAAACATATATGTTTTTACTTTTGTATGTTTTATAAAATATATATTTTTATCTATCAGTAAAGTAGGGCCGATGTAATTGGCCGACGGCACACCTTCGGCGCGGAAAGCGGGAGATTCGCGAAGACACAATAAATTTTTGTTTGCTTGGGCGCCAGGCGCGAGATTCGCGCCACTCTAAAAATTCATAACTAGGAAAAGACCTTTCGTAAAGCTTAAAACATCCCGAAAGTTCCGCGACAGCAATACTTGACTCGCTCAGAACGTCAGGGGGTAGAGGGGGGAGTTCGGACGGGAGAGAGAATGGAGTTCGAAAGTGACTATTTAGAATTCCCAAAGTGTAATATTAATTGAATATATTTGAATAATGATGCGAATGAATAACAAAAAAAATATAAATGTTAGGGTAATATTGCATACAAAAAAATTAATATTCTTGAAATAAGATATTAATTAAATTCCGCGCACTTGTCGTTCGTGGCGGGCGGCGAGTTTTATAGGACGCCGAAATCCAAAGCGATTGAAATCAAATAGTACAGTCGTAAAGATAAGGTACAGCGACAGTACGGCTCACACGTGGCGCGGTGTTATGATTCCGCGACCTTTTGACGACCTGACGCGGAGATATCCGGTTACACGCGGAACCTGGGAGTAAACTTGCTCGTATACGTGGCGAATAATTATTCACGCACGAACTTAATATGGTCCGTGCGAAGTAATTGATTCTAGTAACTGCGGAACTACACAATCTCCTGTAAACTATAATATGTTCCGTGCGATTTATTCCTGATATCTATTCCGCGG